CTTGGGTGAGCCAGCTCTAAGGAATCTGTCCAGGTCCATTCCAATACATTCTGGGATTGGCGGACAGAGATTTCGTCCGGCGCCGAAGATTGAGTTGCATCATTGAGATCAAAAGGGCGTGGTCCCCTCGGGGTCAGATTTCTGGGTGCCGATGCGTCCCCTGTGCCCTCAGCACCTGGCTGCTGGGAGAGGGGATGAGGTGTGGTGGACCCACCTGCATTTGCCGGTTTCTGAATTAGCCAGGATGGGCCACCTACAGAGAGTTGTTGCTCTGACTGTTGGCCCAACCTAGACGGAGTGTGTTCGTTTTGTTTCCTCTGAGAACCTCTTTTCCCTGGAGGTTGTTTCTGACTTGCGCCGTGCAGTTGCAGTTGAGGATTTAGCCAGTGGAATGCTCTGCCAGTAGGCTCCACTCTGCCTTCCTTTGCCGGAGGGAGAGGCGGGAACGCGCTCCTGCCGCATCATGTTCTGGTTGGGGAGTACAATCTGTTGACCTCCATGGATTGTCGGATCTTTTGCAGCAGAGCTTGCTGGGGAGAAGGTTTTCTCCTCTGGGGTCTTGTGGGGAGGGGTTGCCTCCTCGCAGAGATAGTCTCCCTCGAGTCTGATATAGCGATTGCACCCCTTGCACCAGGGGGTTTTGCTATTGACCAGATCTCCAGTGAGAAAGCCCTTCCCTGTGAAAACCTTCAGTGTCTTAATAAATTTTTGCTCCGCGCTAGGACGCAGTCCATATTTGATATTGCCCAAGTCTGGATTGACCGGATCATTGATAATATCATATTCTTTGATTACCTTTCCCATGGCAAGCTCAATCCTTGTTTTGATGTACATGGAAGCATCAATGGGAAAGCGCATTGCCATGACCCAGTACTCTGATTTCTTTTCCTCTTCCCTTTGTGCAATCCAATCAGCCTTTGGCATCCAAGGTCTGAACAAGATCTTGTATCTTTTCCTCTTTTCCACGAATCGTTCAATACCCTTCTGGAGCATCCATTCTGACATCCGTGAGAGCTTAGGGATGTATTTTAGCTGCATTTTGCTCTCGAAATGTGTGAGGCCCCTGTGAGATAATAGCTTGTCCTCTGGGATTAATCCGTTTTCAATGGATCGAACAATGTCCAGTTTCCTATCATTGGGGAGGTTTTTTGCCTCGCCCTGAAAGGGGACGGTCACGGCGTGTTGTTTGACGAACATTTCCTCCAGCTTGCGAATGCTCTCTTTGGGGTGAATTTCCAGACAGTCTTCTTCCTCGTTAATAGAGGCTTCAACATAGTCAGATACATCCTGTGCGGTTTGAGTGAGGTACCAGTCGCCGACCATTGTGGCCAGGTGAATTAACTCTTCCTCCGGGAGGTTGGCCTCTGGGAAGCTACCTTGGTTAAGAAGGTAGGAAAGTGTGTGTGTGTTTGAGTGAGGTACCAGTCGCCCCCCATTTGGGTGTCCGTCATGGCGTTGGCCCTTATAAGTTGTGTTATCTACTGTGACCTTCACTGAGAGAGGAGGCAATTGGCCGATTATGGATCCAGTTTCGTCTGTCCGTGAAACAAAGACAGAGAAATGTGGGGAGGGTTCCCGGGCGTATTGTCAAAAAGTGCGGCGACAGGTGGGAAAGCAAAGAATTGATGCAGGGGAACGCGACGGGGAAGAACGTATCCCGTTCGGGAGCCAGATGTACTAGACAGAGATTGGCCTTACGAAATGGGCGACGGGGGTGCGGGTAAGCAGGCGGAACAGTAACCGGTGTGTGGGTAAGTGGAGCGAGGGTGGGAGGGAAGAATTACTTGTAGGAGAGAGCGAGGGAAATCGGAACGGACAGGTGGCCAGATACTTAAGGGCGAAGTGCCGAGATTAACGGCAGCGGGTGGGATTACGAGGAATTCACACAGGAAATCGTGTCGGGGCGTACGGGGGTGAAGTGTACCAGACGGGCTATGGGCTTACAAAATAGGTGATTGAAGGTGCAGATGAGCGGGCGGGACAGTTGTCGGTGTGCGGGTAAGTGGGTCGAGGGGAGGTGGGAAGAGTTGCTTCGAAGGGGGGAATAGGATGAATCGGGACGGAGAGGCGGTCAGATACGAAGGGGCGTAGCGTCGGGCAGTGCGGCAACCGGTAGGTTTACGAAGAGATGAAACAGGGGAACGCGGAGGAGGGGGGGAGGGGGAAGAGTACGGGAGAAAGGCGTAGCGTGTCAGGTGTGGCTGGACCGACACGAGTGCCGAGAGATCCTTGCTTGGTGGTGGGCCGAACACTTGCCCTTTTGTTTGGGCCGAGCAGCAAGGAAAGCGCTCAGGATATGGTTACCGCGAATTGTAGAATTGAGATCGGACAAGAGCCGAGGTTTCCGATTATAGTATGTTCCTGTTCTGTATAGGGGCGAATTATTAAAAGTTACTAGTTTTCAATGAGATCGAGCGTCGAATTTGGAATGGAGAGGAAAACTGAAATAATTGCGTGGGTGGGCCCGGGTGGGGCTTTAAATGTCCTGGTAAGTAGGAGATTCAGGCAAGGGGAGTGGTGGAGACGAAGTAAATTATACCGGAATAAGAAATTAGGGAGGAATTGAGAAATGATGAGGATGCGGCCTGGACTGAGCAAAGGAGGTCGAGGCCTCGGTTCAAGAGGAAAGGAAAGGTTACGGAGCCAAATTTTAGGAAAGAAAATCACTTCCGAAGAAGAGCCACGGGATGTGGGGAGAACTGAAGTTAGTAGGAGCGAGTGGGGGACAATCGAAAGCGGGACAGGAATAATAGGGGAGAAGGCGACTAGGTACGGATGAGGGATGTAAGCGGGAGTTGACGAAGGGAGGAGCAGGGGAGAATGAAAACGAGAAGGTAACTAGGTTTGTAGGGGAAAGAGAGAAGGGAACGGGTTAGAAGGGGGGGGGAGAGACAGTACAGGAAGAAAACCCGGCGTCACCAGAGTGCGACAGGGTAGGTAAAGAAGTTACCTTCTGCTTACGAACAGTGACACCGTCGTCCAATATGCGAACAGCAACCTCCTTTCCAGTGAGGATGGCAGAGAGATTCAGGACCGACCGGCCCGTGCTGTAGTGGAGCGCCGTAACCCAGCGCTTCGCTGGTAATGGATGTTTACGACTTCGAAAGAACTAGGTAGTAACTCTCATGAGTTGTTCAGGCTTGCACGAAAGGGGTAACAGGCCACCTCGCTCTCCTTCACTCCAGGGTGGAAAAGAAACTCACCCCGGTGTATCGGGAAGGAGTGCTGCCCCTTGCCTCCACGCCGGGAGGGAAGGTTAGGTTGGCTATGGCGTAATTAGGTTACCGCAGTAAGAACGAAGCAGCGCAGCAGCGCAGACACAGCACGGAATTTGCGGGTCGCTGGAGCGCGCTCCGGGTACCCCATCTCGGTTCCATTTGGACCATTTCTCGATTTATGCGTGTCATCCTTGCACAGGGGCCATGCTAATCTTCTCTGTATCGTTCCAATTTTAACGGATGTCCCGAAGTACCGTCTAGGTTTTTGCGACAAACCGGGGAGCCCTAAATGCAACTTCTTTGCTCCTACGCTGACTGGACACGCGCGTATCATAGGAGGAAGCTGGAGGGAGTAGGGCCTCGCTCCACTGCAGCTGTCGACATGCACAAAAGACAAAAATCATGGTGGTGTATTTCTCCATGTTCTAGGGGACGATTCACTTTCGTTGTGCTCACGTCGAGAGTAGTGGAGCGAGGCCCATAGAAAGGGCCACGCTGGGCCACGCTGACTGGGCATGGGCGTATCGCAGGTAGAAGCACAATCAGGGGATCTCACCACCCCTCGTTTCTTTCCCCTTTTCTTTTTTGGGTTCATTTGCTGCACAGTATGCATGTCGTCTTTAGGCAGGGACCAGGCGCGTTCGTTCTGGTTGTGAGAACGGCTTGTGCCTTTCGGCCCGTTTTGTTTTTTAATTTTTCTTTTTTGGGGGGGGGGGAATCGACCCACCTTTTTTGTTTTTAAATATAAATCGGCCCGTTTTGACACGAAAGGAGACGACGATTGACACAAATGTCAACAGAAAAAAAAGAGAAAGAAGGGAAAAAAAAAATGGGAGACGACACACAGCAAGGGGAAAAAACAAAACAAAAGGAGATGACACCGCGGCCGGTAGCAGATCAGGCTCGTGGCCACGCCTGCGTTCCATGGGATCTGCCGAGAAAGGGGAGCCCGCTCACTGCCCACCTCGATACGGTAACCTGATCGAAATTCTCGTGACGGAATCTGGTCATCCCTGAAGTCATGTACATTTGGGAGACTGCGCGTGAAGGGCATCGCCACACCACTCTCGAAATGTGCAAAATGAGAATGAACCTCCCCCTAGAACATGGGCAGATGCACCCGCCACATTTTTGTCTTTTTGACATTTCGAGAAAAGTGTGGCGAGACCCGAAGGCAGGTCGATCTGCTTACCACCAATCCAGGGTCTGGTCGCGACACAGATCCGAAGGCAGGAGGATCTGCTTACCACCAATCCCAGGGCCTGGTTGCAACACAGACTTCCGGGAATGCACCTGACCAGATTAGGCCTTTAATAAGTAGTAATCTGTGGTGATACTGTCAGTCGCCACGCGCGTCTGGAGACCATGTTCTCTTTTTTTTTTTCCCCTTTTTTTTTGAAAGATCCCCTCCGGAGGGGGAATGGGGCGAGCCGCGCTATGCTGCAGCGCAATACAGCGGCAACTCAGGGGAATCGAGTAAGCAAGCCGTACATTTTCCTTTTTCTTAATAATGTCTACATCTTTTTCCTTGGGCACTGGGCCCCTCATTTTCAAAAAAAAAAAAAAAAAAGAAAAAAGTCTACATCTTTTTCCTCCATGCGGGGTCTCACGAAATCCATGTCATTCCGCCAACACAGCTGCTGTGATTCCACCCTGGGCGGCTGGGACGCCACAAAGGTCTGAAGCACACTTTTTTCTCGCTCTTCTCCGTTGGCGGGAGTACACCTTCACGCGACACGTCAGAGGTGACGGCGTCTCGAGATCTATAAACTTCCGCAACCTATTTATTCCGTGAGAATTGTCACCCATTCAGTACAACAGGAGCTCTTGAGACGTTGACGAGAGATCCCTGCCGCGGGATCTTATTCGTCTTTGCGGTACTGAGAGTATCCTTTCTCTTGTTCGCATTGCCGCTGATCAACAACCTAGGAGATAGTGCATAGCGAGGGAGCGCTGCGGATCGCCTAGCCCTGCTGCGGGGCCTTCAACTCCACCGATCAGTTCTCGCCATGGCTGAAGCTGCGAATGCTGCTTCCAAGGGCGTTCAAGTTGATCCCCATCATGAATCGTATGGAGATATCCATCCGCCAGTGAAGGCGAGAAACGTCGAGGAACTTCACTCACTTCAGAAGGCGGTGTCGTCGGAGAAGGTCACTGCTCCGGCGCAGTCGATCAGCCAGTCGCTTGCTTCCATCTCCAAGGGCAAAGCAGTGTGTCATCAGTCTCGACCGGACCTTAGTGACACGGATCTGAAGGTTGCTCATGTGCTTTACAACCTCTCTCCCGCGGAGCTGTACGAGGAGGCGATCAAGTACGAGCAGGGGTCGCACATCACGTCCACTGGCGCGCTGGCCACTCTGTCCGGAGCCAAGACCGGTCGTTCTCCGAAGGACAAGCGCGTGGTGAAGGAGGATGAGACGTCTGCTGACCTCTGGTGGGGAGAGGGGTCGCCCAACATTGAGATGGACGAGGAGACGTTCTTGATTAACCGGGAGAGAGCTGTCGATTACCTCAACTCGTTGGACAAGGTGTACGTGAACGACCAGTTCCTCAACTGGGACCCGAAGAACAGAATCAAGGTGCGCATCATCACGGCACGGCCGTACCACTCCTTGTTCATGCGCAATATGTGCATTCGGCCGACGCCCGAGGAGTTGGAGGATTTCGAGCCGGAGTTCACCATCTTCAATGGCGGGCGGTTCCCGGCCAACCGCTTCACACACTACATGACGTCGTCAACCAGCATCGACATCCATCTAAAGAGGCGGGAGATGGTCATTCTGGGCTCGCAGTACGCCGGTGAGATGAAGAAGGGTCTGTTCGGGCTGATGAACTACCTGATGCCGAAGAGGGGCATCCTGTCCCTGCACTCGGGCTGCAACATGTCCAAGGACGGGAAGGTGTCGCTCTTCTTCGGGCTGTCGGGGACGGGCAAGACCACTTTGTCGGCGGATCCGAACAGGTACCTCATCGGCGACGACGAGCACTGCTGGAGCGACGACGGAGTGTCGAACATCGAGGGAGGATGCTACGCCAAGTGCATCGACCTGTCCAAGGAGAAGGAGCCAGASATCTGGAAYGCGATTCGCTTCGGCACGGTCCTGGAGAACGTGGTGTTCGACGAGCACACGCGGGTGGTGGACTTCACTGACAAGTCGGTGACCGAGAACACCCGGGCGTCCTATCCCATCGAGCACATCGAGAACGCGAAGATTCCATGTGTTGGCCCGCACGCGATCAACGTTATCCTTCTCACATGCGACGCTTTCGGCGTGCTCCCGCCTGTGAGCAAGCTGACGCTGGCACAAACGATGTACCACTTCATGAGCGGGTACACGGCGCTCGTGGCCGGCACAGAGGTGGGCGTGAAGGAGCCGAAGGCGACGTTCTCCGCGTGCTTCGGAGCTGCGTTCATCGTTTGGCATCCGGCGAAGTACGCTTCCATGCTGGCGGAGAAGATGCAGAAGCACGGCGCGACGGCGTGGCTTGTGAACACCGGGTGGGTTGCAGGAAGCTACGGCACGGGGTACAGGATGAAGCTGCCGCACACGCGCAAGATCATCGATGCCATTCACGACGGGTCGCTCCTGCAGGCAAAGTACACGGCGACGGACGTGTTCAATCTCGCCGTCCCTGATCATGTCGAGGGTGTGCCTGACGAGGTTCTGATGCCGCAGAACATGTGGGTGGACAAGGAGCTGTTTAACACCACTCTGAAGAAGGTTGGCGGGCTTTTCAAGGCGAACTTCAAGAAGTTCGAGGACTACACCGTTGGAGGGGACAAGAAGCTGACGGAGGAGATTCTTTCGGCCGGACCGCAGCTGTGAGCAGGCATGGAGATCGGGGTATCTCAAATGTTATGCCACGAGTTCGAATGAAGAGAACGTGCGATGTTAGGAACATGGGAAATTTTGCCGAACGAACTTTTTTTGACGGAGTAGTTTGTAGTCGATGCGAACATTCTTTTTTTGGTGGATGGGTGGCATAGCCCACTCACGGAATCTTTGGTTGGGATTGTCAAGGACCTCGCCGCCACTCTGCTACGGGCAAAGCCAGCGTTCGAGACAATTCCAGGCCTATTTAATTCTGCAGAGTATTGTCTTTCTGATGTTGGCTTCTATTGAATTGGACGGCTGATTCCAAGTTGATGTCGTCCTACTTTGATTATCGAATAAGCTGGGTGCCATACAACAATTTGATATTCTTTGGTTTGTGCACTTTTTTTTCCGACGTTGTTTGTTTTTCGTCGACCTTTTCCGTTCTGTGGGCACTGGGCGGATTCTGTATCTACTTGCGAGCAATGTTTGTTTGTTTGTTTGTTTGTTTGTTTGTTTTTTTTTTTGTTGGGTTGCCATCGCCGTGTTGGGCATTTCAATGCCTCTCTCTCTCTCAGTCGGGTTCGAGTTGGTTGATATCGTGCTTCTGTATTCCGTTCATCCGAGTCGAAGGATACATGTTTATGATCTGCGTCGTAATACGACGTTTTCGAACGTTATTCAGCATGCGTAGGACTCAGGAAATTGTATCTAACTATCACTCTGGTTCCGGTTCGTTGGTATCGTGCAGTCGTAGTACTTGACAATTTTTGGAATTGAAAGGTTCTATGTATCTATCTGATTTGAATACATGTTTGTGTTCCGCGTACTGATACGACGTTTCCGGAAGTCGTTCATCATGCGTATGTTGATGATGTATCTTTTGCCAGGACTCGTGTTGTAATGAAGAAGGGGGAGTTGGATTGGTTTGAATGAAGGCTGGAAGAATTGTGATGAAGATCTGTGGGTTTTCGCGGAATTATAACTTTCAATACGAATTTTTCGTCGCAGGGGGGATTCATAATTCATAACCTTCCCTAGTTTTTGTCGTTTCTGTCTCTTTTGTCTATTCTCGCTCCCTCGTTCGCTCGCAGTCGCAGGTAACGCCGTCCTTGGACTGTTTGACAACGAACATGCGTCGAACCCACTCTCTGTCGGAAGCATGTCGTGGGTCTCTTTCTTGTTCTGTCTCGTGAGTAGCGATTCGAAGTTGGTTTTAGTCTTCCTACACTGGCTAATTACATCAGAGGTTCGGCAGATGGAAGGTCGAAGCCAGAAGCACAAACCACCTAAGAGCTTCATGATTGAAGCACGCATTTACGTGCGCAGGTTTTATCAATTATTCGAACGAAGGTCACATTGACGAGTGCAGGTCTGTGGATTGCTAGTCTGTACCGTTGTTTGACACCACGTGTAGAGATTGATGTATCATTCGTACTGTGGCCGCTGCCTGCGGATGTACACTCGCATCCTAATTGTTGCTGTATGTTTTTGTCTTCTTTGTCTCGTTGTAACTTTTATTATTATTATTATTATTATTATTATTATTATTATTATTGTTATTTATTTATTTTTTTGGGCCGCGCCACGCTTCGCTGCAGTGCAAGACGAAGGGAACGCTGGAGAGGTCGAGCAGGCCTACCCCTATGACCCCTCCGTAGCCCTGAAAAATTAATTTAGAAATAACTACGGCGCAGTCAGGGTTACAGTTTGTAATTGCATCTCAAACTTCGTTTTAGCAGTTTAGTCAGGCCCCGAGTTTCAAATGCAGTTGAAACTCGGGGTGGCGTTTTCTAGCAGTTCAGTCAGGCATATGGCAGTTTTCTTTTCTTCTTCTTCTTCTTCTTCTTTTNAAAAAAAAAAAAACAGCCCCATGGGTGGGGCATGGCCGAGATATCTCGGCCACACCCCAGATGGGCCACGGCCGAGATGTCTCGGCCACAGCCACCTTTCACAGGCAAACGCGGATGGAGCCAAAAAAAAAGGAAAAGAAAAAAAAAGAAAAAAAAAGAAAAGAAACGAGGAGCTTTGAATCCACGTACGTGGGGAGCTCAAGTTACACCAGTCCTTTGAGGAATGTATCTGGCCAGTATGTGAGGACCGTGAATCATATCGTTTTTTTTGTTTCCTGTTTGTTGTGAGGTCGTTGTAGCGCCCTGCCAGCCAGGCAGGGCGGATTCCACGGGTTCCGGACAAGTACTGTACATCCTGTATCGGACGCAATCACCGCATAAGGGATGCTTTTTTTCCTTTTTTTCTCATCTGCTGCTCGTGGATGGACGAGGGCCCTGACTGAACTGCTACCCAGCCAAGTTTGAAATGAGTTTGAAATGCATTTCAAACTCGGGCCGTGACTGAAGTGCGAAAACGCAGTTTGAAGTGCATTTACAAACTGTTTTCGTGACTGCGCCGTAGTTACCCCATTAATTTAATATCTTGTGGCCCGATGGACCACGGATCAGATTTTTCGAGTACCTGCTCATTCAGTTTCACACGTTCTTATGAATGGTATGATGTGTCGTTCTTATGGCTATAAACTATAATGATAGGGGAGGAAGAGGAGGATGACGTGTTCGAGAAAAAGGACAGGGTGTACTGCCGAAAGAATAATCGGAGTAGGCATGACGTGTTCGAGACCTATCTCCAATCCCACAGTTGTCCTCACACAATGGGCCTCGCTGCACTCCCCGCAAACCGGTTTTGGAATGAGTAACGGTGCTGCACCTGCTCAACCCGCTCCTCTGACAATGTTGAATTTGAAAAACGTTTGGAAAGTGCACCGTTTGGGTGCTCTCCCCTAAGCTCGTTTTTCCCGCCTGCTGGGTGAAACCACGCGGGGTGAGTTTTGCCAAAGTTCCGAGAGTTGGAGTAACGGAGTTGGACCAAACTGCCCGGTGGAAACCTTCCGCCAAACCCAAATCGTAGGCCCCGACTATGGGAAACAAAAAAGCGGACCCCAATGCAGCACGAATTTTCGGCAGGACCGAGGGGGGGGGTCCCCCTCCTCACCCCCTCAGGATGACCGAACCGCAAGAAGAGGGCAAAACCAAACTGAGTGGAAACGCTTGCCACGTCATTTGTCAGCGTTCTCCGAAGCTTTGCAGCAAAGCAGTGGGGTCTCACAAATCGTCTTCCAAAGCTTTGCCGCAAAGCACTGGGATGGTCTCGACGTTTGCATCATTCTTTTTTTTTGTTTTTTGTTTTTTTAATGTGGTCCGATGGACCACGGATCAGATATTAAACTGATCAGAACAGATACTACACTTGATCTTAGCCAAAAGGCCGAGAATTCTCACCCTACCTGCGACTGCCTGCAGTATGGGGCGGAAGTTCTTTGTTTGTTTTTTTTTTTTTTTTTTTGGGAGCAAATCAAAGAAGCCAGGAACCTTTCACAAACAACCCGGAGGTGCTGGGGCCTTTACCCAGCATAGGCTAGATACTGGAAACCGGGTCCAGCGTCCCTTCCCTCCACTCCTAAAAACTCCCAAAATCAAACTTTAAGCACAGGAAATTAAGTCGGCAGGGGCTGGAGGGCGTTGTGGGCCCTATACCATAATACTGTAAAATCGCTCCCCTGGGCCCAGGACCCCTTGAACATCGGCGCATATGTGTCCCATCTAGATTAAGCCAGAAAAGACGATCTGTGGGACCTCTCAATCGTGGGTGTCTGACAGCCACTTACATATTTCCAACCTACCTTCCTGACTTATAGAGGCCAACCTACTGACCCTGGCCCAGGTCTTCTGAATCCAGATGAAATTCTTTCCTACCCAGTCTGCTCTTATGATTCGTCTGATACTCTGTTTTACCAGCTGCTGTTGATGCTGGGGGGAGAGATCCTCCCCTCTAAATACTTTTGCATTCCTTGCCTTCCAGATCACCTCCATCAGGGCACCCCGACAACATAGAGCTATATATCCCCAACCAGAGGAGTAAACAACACCCTGCGGTAGGATGCCCGGTTAGCATCCAGGAATCTGACCAGACAAAATCCCCTTTTGTGACTTTGTTCCAATGAAACATCCACCACATCAGAAGTTTGTCTGCTAGAGGGCACAAAAGCCAAATGTGAGTCATATTTTCCTAGCCCCAGTTGCACCGCCGGCATGTTGTGGAAATTTCCATTCCTCTTGCTGATAACCACATTGCAGTGGCTGTCACCAACAGGGATTGGATCCACATTATACTCGCGTGCTTCTGAGCTGGGATGAAAGTAAAGGCTTTCCACAGACTAAGCATGCCTCTCTCTGATACGCCTTAGTTGCTGTGCTTCTGCTCTTTTGACTGTGCTTCTGCTCTTTTGACCCCAAGAGCAGACACCGTTTTCCCTTCAGGATCGACATTCGGACTTGTCATTTGCCCTCTTCTGTTGACGTGCATGTTTTCATTTGCTCTCCTCGGATGCTGATGAATGGTTGTCTTCCTCCCCTCCCCTTCCCTGACCTCTTAGATTGATGGATCTAATTGATTGATCCCTGACGATTGAACCTTGCGTGGTCACAGTGTCGAACCGATGGTATGTGACGTGCAACCTCACGCCCTGTGCTGTTTTCCGTTCGGAGTGTTAGCTGTGCGGAAAAGAGGCCCAGAAAAACAGCAAGATGGGGTGTGCCAAGGATTTTTGGAAATTGAGTGTGGGGACACAGACGGAACTGAAATCCCCAGTGTTGGTCCGATGGAGCAAGTCGATCATTTTCGCGCGTCGCGGAATGCGCGCGCGGGCAAGGCGGGAAGAGAGGGAAAGATCCAAATTCAATCCAAAAAGTATTGTCGTGCCTCCCACCGGGCTACAGCCCGTCGTTTAGAACAGAAAGGCTTGGGCACGCTTTGCGTGTCCCGTTTTCGTATCAAGTCTCGTCGTCGTTCGCTGGTTAGTTCTGAGTCTGACGTGAAGGGCCTCAGTCGCGTGGCTCTTTCTTTATGCTCGTCTTCATTCCGCACACGGTAGTGGAAACCCCTGGACTCGTAGCGCTCAAAACGCTGACATTCGGTGCACAGAGTGCGCGGCCAGTGGGGTTCTACTGCCGTCCACGGAATGACGATCAACTCGTTAAATGGCAACAATACCGAGTAAGGTG